AAAATAATGTAAATTGAATTAAGTTAGTATAAAATCGTTAGTAATTTATTAGTTAGATGTTTTCGAGTATATGATGCAATATGTAAAAAAATATTTTAATGCATGAGAAAAGTATTTTAATGCAATTAAGATATTTAAAAAGGTATTAGTGTTTAAAAGCGATTTTTGATTAATAAATGACTATTAAAAATATATCAAGTATTTTTAATAAAAATATTATAATTATTTGCTAATTATACAAAATTATATATTCATGCAATAAATTAAAAAAAAGGTAGTAAATAAACAAATAAATAAATAAATGAAATTATAAAAATAAATTAATTTTATTTAAAAATGCAAGGGGGTGCAAAATTAGTTGGCTAGTAAAATGTTTGAGTGTGAATAACAGGCCAAGCGCATGGAGGTGTCGTTTAAGAACGTAATGGCAAAATTGAGGGTGTAGGAAATAAGGGTTCAAGTCCAGATGTTGGACTTGGCCCACTAGCACAGGAGGGGTGTGTTTTTCAGCATAGTAGCAAAATAAATAAAAACAAGGAGGTGTGATTAAGAATGGGTTTGGCCTAGAGTTGAATCAGATAAAGGCCCGTTTGGATCGTGTATGGCTAGTGCATGGGATTACAATGAGGTCGCGATTTTAGAGCGTCTGATTAAAATTAAAAGGGTGTGATTGAGGGTGCACAGTAAGGAGGATGTACCTGAGTACGGAGAGTATTTATAAAAGAGGATTTTCGGGCTTGAGGCCCATTTTCTTCTCTAATTTCTCTCTCTAACAGAACGAAACAAACCTTCTTCTATATTCTAGAGAGAGATGATCTCGCCTTTCTCTAGAAAGGTAACACCGGAAATTTCCCCACCCTGGGCTCCATTGGCCGGAAATTGCTTCCGCTAGTGGCCACTCCAGGGCACCACCACCTTCATCCAAAAACCACTGCGAGGAACCCAGAACCTTGAAGATCTTCATCCAACCCTTAGAAACCTAACCCTATGTTCAAAAAAACCCTGAAACCCAAGAACCCTAGGGTTCTAGGATGAACCCTAACCTAACTCCAAGAACCCTAAGAACCCTAGGAATCCAGAAATTCAAAATCAAACCTTAATCATGCAATAAAACATCAATCATCAGACGATTAAAACCCTAAAAGCTAAGTGGTTTTGGGCTTACTTGAATTTGTAGCTCACTTTTTCGTTCTGCTTCTGGTTTCTCCTCATAATTCCTCCTTTTCTTTCTTTGATTCATAGGTACAAGATTGAAGATGGAAATTGTGACGATAGTGGCGTAACTCGGATCTAGGGTTTCAGAAATTGAAACCCAGATCCCTCTTCTTCTCCTTGATCTCTTTTTTTGTTTGCCAATTTCCTCTTCTTCCCCCTTTAGAATTTTTAAGATTCTATTTATAGGCTTAGGTTAAAGAAAGATTAGGAAGTTTTGTTTATGATTGCCATTAAAAATTGTAATTGATTTAGGAATTAGGAAGACATAGATTTGATTAGAGATTTGTTTGTAAATTAGAGATTTGAGATTGATTATGTATAATATTGATTTGAGTATGATTATTTTGTAAAGATTTGATTATTGTTTGAATTTATTATAATGTTTGATTTGATTGTGATTTGTTTCCGGATCTCTATAGTAATTGTTTTTTTTTGGACTACTTGGGCCGCCGCTGAGTTTGATCAATTAGGGTTTCAAAACCCTTTTTGGATTTGGTTGACTTCGGTCAAAATTATTCAACAACAAAAACAAAAATAATAATAAAATTAATAATAAGTTAATATTGATTAAGTAATATAAATAATAACGGTTTTAATCAAAAATAAAAATAATAATAACTACCATATTAATAGCAGTAATAATTATATAACTAAAAAGTCAGAAGTTAACATCTGGTCAACAAATCTAAAAACAATAAAAATTATTTTGATAATAATAAACAATAATAAAAATGATGATGTTGAAAAATATCTGATTTTAATAAAAAAATAATAATTATAAAATGAAAATGAATGTTGACTTGGTCAACATCCTTACCAAAAAATTAGAAAAAGAAGCTTGTTGGGCTTCTAACTTATTGGGCTAGACATATTTAATTCAAATCTCATAAAACCCACACACCCCTTCTTATTATTAAACAAAAACATACACCCCCTTACTAAGAACTTAGAAAAAGTTAATATAAAAATACTAACACCAATAATAATGAAAAGGCGACTAGCTATAACTTAACCACTAATGCTAGTAGGGTAAAATTTAGGGTATGACAGTTGCCCCTATTTAATTACTCTTTAATTTAATAGTGAAAGAACATGCAGGTCTCGCACCTTCAAATCGGAGATTTATTAAATAATAGAAAACCCTAAAATTTGACCAAAAGATTTATAAGGATACACTATGCAGCATTCTCAAGAGTACGAAAAAGAGGAAATAGATGATGATGTATCATCTTACCAGAGTTTGAACAACAAGTTTTGATTCGACTTGGATACGAAGATGCGGATAACTCGTCAATACCTGAAAAAGAGATCGTAGATTTTTTGTGTATTTACCATAACCTAGGAGGTAAATAACACCAGTTTGAAAATTGACTTACTAATGCTTCGAGACTAACATCGTAAGCTTATAACGTATATTTTGTTTATTCATAATAGCCTAGGGGATGAATAAAACAAAGTTGATAATCCATTGCTGCATGGAGACTAACACAATGAGTTATATCACATATTTCTTATATTTACTATAACCTAGAGAGTAAACAATATGAGGATGAACCTATACATTTATCACGACCTAGAGGATAAATGACACAGGGATAGGCTTATGCATTCATCATGACCTAGAGGATAAATAGTATAACCCTGATAATTTGTATACCTACCACAATCTAAAGGATAGATAATACGAAGAAAAACTTGTTCATTTATCACGACCTAGAGGATAAACGACATGAGAATAGACTTATGTATTCATCACGACCTAGAGGATGAATAACATAAATCCTAAAATTTGCATACCTACCACAACCTAGAGGATAGATATTTGAAAAGTTTGTGCGTTTATCACGACCTAAAGGATAAACGGAAAAAGATAGGCTTACGTATTTATCACGACCTAGAGGATAAAGAATGTAAGCCAGATAATTCGCATATATACCACAACCTAGAGGGTAGATACTTGAAAAGTGTTTTGATAATCAAATCTTAGACAACTAGACCAAAGATAAGATCATACTTTTCCGGTTGTGTCCGTTCTCAACCAAGGTATTCGTTTGTTTTGTGGAACATATAATCCAATGATGGGCCCCAAGAAAGTTCGTAGTTTAACCAAAATGAATTTGAAAAATGCCATGTATAATGCATATTGCTTTAAGTTGATATGGAACCCCAAAATGTATATGCACTGAGTGTTTTGTACATGCCCCAAATGTTTGTATATGCACCAAATGTTTGTATATGCCCCAAATGTTTTTTTGTAAATGTTTTAATATTTTCTCCTTTTAAACCATTAGTTTTGTGCCACCGACTCTCCAACGTCGTATGTTGCATTGTCGTGTTATTTTTGAGTTGATTTGAATAAGACGAATAAGTGTCAGCAGGAATTTGATATTTGTATCGCATGTGTAGGCTTGGCCATAGTTATGGACATAGGCATGGACATAGGTGTGAATTTTCTTTTGATGTTTTTCTAACCAAAATGCTCTTTGATATTTTATCAAATACTTCTATTTCTTTGTCTAATCCCCAAAATGATTTCAACACCGTATTCACAAGAAATTATCGTAGTATTTTGCAAACAAGTCGGAAAAGAAAAAACATAATTGAAAGATTGAAAAAGTAAATGTTTTATTGATAATCATGCCTTTGAACAGGTGAAAGTAAAAGGTGCAATTCCTAGAAAGAGGTCATTTACACAAAGTTTTAACACAAATTGAAAAATGGCAATGAAAATGATAATTGTTATTGTTGTTTCTCCAATGTCCTTTTGATAACTCCAATCTCCTTCACTTCCGAGTCATATGATTTGGATTAATCCTTCTCCTTCGTGGTCGTAGTCGTGGTTCTCAGATTGCAGTGTATTTGTTCTTTATTTTGAGTAGGATCCCTAACTTTTGCCTAGACCGTCCTTTCGGGTTTTCAATCCACCGAGATAATTTTTTTTGTTTATGTCCCTAATTTTTTCTTGGATCTCCCTTTAGGGTTTTCAATCCATTGGGATGCTCCTTTTTTCATAAGTCGCTCGTCTAAGGTTCTAACTTAGAGAGCTTTTTTATACATAGTATTTTTTTACTGCGTTTGAATTTGTTGAATGTGGCAGTTCTTCCCCATCCATTGTTGTGTGGAAAAGACCGCCACCCAAGAATATTGTGCCTTCGTAGTTGGGTGTCCATTTACCATGTGAATCAAGGCGAGGTAGTAGAATCTTTTTTATTACCAAATCTCCTTCTTTAAACACTCGAGGTCGGACCTTCTTGTTGAATGCTTTCTTCATCCTATTTTTGTACAACTGACTGTGGCACAAAGTTGTCAAGCGCTTTTCTTCAATGAGGTTAAGCTGATCAAGTCGCGTATGAACCCACTTTTATTCTTCAAGGTTTGTTTCCATTAGAACCTATAGTGATGGAATCTCTACTTTGATAAGGAGTAGCGCCTCTATGCCATATACGAGATAGAAAGGATTTGCACCTATTGACGTACATACAGAAGTACGATAGCCATGTAGAGAGAAAGGGAGCACTTAGTGCCAATATTTGTATGTCTTCACCATTTTCTAAATGATTTTCTTGATATTAATATTGGAAGCTTTAACAGCCCAATTCATCTTGGGTCGATATGGTGAGAAATTATGATGCTCAATTTTGAAGTCATCGTATAACTCCTTCATCATTTTGTTGTTCAAATTGGACCCATTATCTGTAATGATTCTTCTAGGAACTGTTGTACCCCAATTTCCCCCCTAAGATCCCTCATCACACTTTGTACATTTCGCACATAGCATTGGTCTCATGGTTATAAGATCGAAACATTTTGGCATTAGGGTTTCTCTCTCTGAATGGAGGTTGGTCGCTTCAAATGCAAGGTGACTAGAATCTGTGGATTTAATTGAGATTGAGGTACATAACCTTCATTAGGTCATCTGACGCATCATGCATCATTAGTCGATAGTTTGGCTTGGGATCAGGGATTTCGAGGAATTAGGTTTGTTGTATGGCTTTAAGGCCCTTATCTTTGCACAAGCTTGTTTCGGTAGATTTCTCCATCAATCATTTGTTCAAATTAGGATTTTATTTCCTGGACTTCTTTATCAGCAAACTACAGAGATATTCTCTCTCCTCAACTTCAGGTTGCAATCTTTCTTCAATGCTTAAGAATTAGGGTTTTCTTCTATTATGCTTTCAACTGGGGGCCATTGGATTAGGGCTCGATCTTGTGGTTATCTTGAGCTTCTCCTTCTTCAACGTTGTGGACTTGTTTTGAATGATACAGTTTTTGGTTCTCATCAAATACTTGTTATTTAGATTGCAAGTTAACTTGGGCTATTGAGAGAAATGACTAGTGACTTGGATTCGTTGAAACTTCTAATCGTGCTCAGAGTTAATATTGATTCAAGGGCTTATTAAGTTCATGAATTTGTTAACGGTTGATTCAAGATAGGGTCAGGAGCTTATTTAGCTCATTTTATCAAATAAAAGATGTTTGTTTAAAATGCAAGATGACTAGAATTTATGGATCCAATTGAGATTAAGGTTCATTGACCAAGCATGCCATTTGAAGTCAACTGAGTTTCGACTTGTCATGAATGTTTTAGTTACATTAAGGATCGATTTAAGATGAACATGGAATAGAAGTTTTTAATGTGATTCAAGGATAAGTCATTTAACTTGCTTAAAGGACAAGATATATGCGAGAGATGTTACAGGACTTGTGGATAATTTTCCTAGTTTTCTTGTACTCATAATATAAGTGATTCATCAATTGGATTTGTTTAGAATTTGGATTATGTTTGAGATAAAAAAAGAAGATGTTGAACTTAAGGTTAAATAAGGGATCACAATTCATTCAAGATACATTTTGAGAAGATGTAAGCATAAGAGAATAAATTCAAAGACAAGTGAATTAATTCAAAGTCTCTTTTCTTGATTCAACCATGGCTATTACAAAATCAAGAACTAGAACATTTACACTTTCAACCATTCAAAATTACATAAAAGTGACAATTTCAATCCAATTTATGAATATATTACATCAAAGTCCATAAAACTCCATGTCATCAAGATTTTTGTTGACGTAATGTTCAAATCTGTAGCTGCCTGCATCAAAACAGTGCAATCCAAAACCATAAAACCTGTCATGAAGATGACCATGCATCAAGAGAATACCTTCATATCATCAATACCATAACCTTAAACCATTCAAAATACATACAATGCCAAGGAAATTTTGATAATATGTGGTGCAACACAAGTCCAAAAGGCATCAAACCTTTGTTTTATACTTACAGAGCAGACATGATATTTAGGATCAACTTAGAAAAATCATAACTCGAAACAAAAGTCAAAAAGCTTCATACCAACACATCAATCCAAAGTTCGAAAAGCTAAATTCAGAAAATATGACTCAGAGTGTGGAGTGAGCAACAACAAGACCTAAGAGACCGAGGTCGAGGTCGAGGACGGGCTAGTCAAAGAGAGGGACATCATCAGGAGACTGAGTTTGATGCCTTTCCTTCTATTCAGCAAGTTATCCAGCCGATTACAGATACGACTGTGATTATACATGTTATCTTAGAACCAAGGGAGTTACCAAAGGAGAATATTGTCGCTCCTGTTGAAAACTCCGAATCACTCCATAATATTGATCTGAAAGCCAATATGATCGTAAGTGATGACAAAAAGACCAGCACAATTGCAAATCTTGTAGTCTCTATTCCAGGAAGCCACTATTCCTGCAGCCGTTATTCCTGAAGCCTCTAACTCTGATGCTGCTAAATCTGATGCTGCTAATCCTGCAGCCGCGATTCCTGAAGCCAGTGTTCCCTCATTGTCTGAACCTGCTCCAACTGACAGCATGCATCATGAAGAAATTCCAGGTTGGTCTCTTTCTGAGGTGGACAAGATGGCCATTGATACAATGCAGCTTGCACAGCGAATGGAAGAGGATGATGAAGATTACGACGAGGAGGATGAGTGAATTGTAGCGTTTCGAAGAAGGATTACTAAAAAATGATCCTGAAAAATCACGTCAAAAAAACAGTTAATTCAATAACCCTCTAACAGAATCCAACCACCTGAACAAAATTCCCTATTTGTTCTAACTGTTAACAGAACTTTAAACCAACCTATAACCAACTCTAATAAACTTCTAACGGATATCTATAAACAGAAAAACTTCCAGCCAACAGAAGAAAAAAAGAGAAAATCAAAAAGAGGAGAGGAGGATACGATTCATTCTAAGAAATCAGAGGGACTCACCTTTGGAACCTGGGCTCTCTCTCTAAACTTCTTTTCGGAAAAGACTACCGAGACATCTTCATCCTCTTCTCCACAACCTTCGCTCTTCTGTATATCTTCATCAATTCATCTTCTGCAAATTGGATAGCTCTGAAACTTCATTGCCCATTGCTTCAACCACCTTGAATTCTCTACTGCATACTCTCCTCTCCGTCTAAAAAACTACAACAATACTGATTCAAGATCATCGTTGATTCTTCATCGTCCTGCAATTTCTGCAAACGGCTCGGTATCTTCAATCAACATCGACAACGCCTCTTCAATCTGCATCTACATCAAATCTGCAACAAATTCATCGCTAATTATCATCAATGAAAATTCACATCCTATCATCGCAATATCACAAACAACGACATCTCTCTACTCTCTGCAATACAACACAAAGTGTATCATGAAAGTGCAATTGCGGAAACGAAGAGAATAAAAGAAGAGGTAGCAAAGGAAGAAATGGAAGCAAGAAGGAGGAGAAGAATACCTTAGTAGTGACGGTCGTAGGTTATGCCATCACATTGGAGCTTCGCGGATTCTGTTCGAGCGAATCCCTGATTTCTTCGAATTTAGGGTTCCAAAGTCATTTCTTCAATTAGGCCTCTTCTTGAAATTTCACAAGAAATTAACGTGGGATTTGAAATTGGGAGGTGATTTGAGTCGAGTTTGGTTCACGTTGTGTTGCAATGGGAAGTAGTTTGGGTGGTGATTAAGGCGACGACAACGGCACCGCCGCATGCAACTGTGAAGAAGACGAGAACAAGTTTGACAGCGACAATGTTGTGTTTTGTTCATCATAGGAGAAGAGCGAGATGAAGAGATTGAAGATCGTGTAGTTCACGGTGGCCCTGTGCTGATGGTGGAAAAGGGGAAACTGCAGCGAAGAATATGAAGCCATCGCGCCGTGTCTGAAGAAGAAGAGATTAAGTTCTCTTTATAACCATAATCCCCTTTTTAATATGATTCCTTTACCTAATTTATTTATGAGTAATTGTTTAATTCATAAGATAAAATGCAATTTTGTTGGAATGTTGATTCAATGGTTGGGTGGACTGAATCATCTCTTGGTCTTGGCCCAAAAGGTTGTCTTTTTTTACAGCTTCTTGGTTTGTCAACAAAAAAGGCATGGTGGGCTCAATTTTAATGGGCCTAGCGCTCAGAGTCTCATTGTTAGACAAACACCACTATCTCAGCCCACACCTCCTGATGCATTTTTCATACTTGTTTCAATCTCATTTTTTATTTAATTTTGAGGATTGAAATTTTTGTGTGGTGGTATTGGAAAATAAAAGGGATTTTGTTGAGGAGTTCGGGGAGTTACAAAGCAAATTAAGAGCTTAATCATCATCAAGAAAATTCAAGGAAGCTTCATGTAGAGTTTTCTTATCATTTGCATGGTTTTGAAGAGGCAACAGACCTTCTCCGTTAGATTTTCAAGAGGTTGCAAAGTATTTAGAAGCCTAATCTTCACCAAAGAAATTCAAGGAGGCTTCTGTAGAGTTTTCTTATTGCTTGTGTGATTATGAAGAGGCAACGGACCTTCTCCGTTCGGTATCACCTCCACTTTATTTTATTCCTCATTTCCGCATGTTATCGCTTTCTAGATATCATGTGAAGTAGGAAATAAAGAGCATGCACTCGAAGGCGTTGTTTAAAGACTTGTAGCAGGCATTCCGCACTTCATTTGCTATATGTGGCGTGCTTGTGTTTGTTTCTTTGTTGATTGATCAATGAGTCACTCAATTTAGAAATTGAGATCACGACTTCGCTCTCAGTGCATGCTCCCTATAGGATTTTATCGCTTTCCTTTAATTCTTGTTGATCGATGAGTCACACAATTTAGAAATTGAGATAACGACTTCGCTCTCATTGCATGTTCCCTATAGGATAGTTTTGTTATACTTTCTTTGGCATGCTAACCTAGATAGGGTCTCTCTAGGTGTGCTCTCTTGAGTTTACTAGCTTGCTTGCTTTATCCTTGTACTTACCATGTTCCCTTAGGATGCGCTTGCTCCATTCGGACACAAGTTATACCTTAGGTTATAAACCATGCATACTAACATTAGGTAGACGTTTCCCTTTTGTTCATCCTTAACATAGGACTACCATTGTATGATAACATTAGGTTAGAGATAGGTTAGTCTCCCTTAGATGTTTTCTTCTCATTTTTGCATAATTACATTTAAAACTAAAACTTCCTCTTTCTTGGCAAATGTATAAAGAATGATAAGCATACAAAAATACTTTTCATGATAAAAAATACCAACCAATCCATTTCTTTTCGCCATTCGGCTTTTCTCTTCTAAGAGCATGTTAGCTCCTTTCCACTACAGGTCATAAGTCTCCAAAGGTCGAGCAGCGGTGGAATGATTGAATGTAATATTGCTCGTTTAAAAAATACAAACAAACAAAATATATGAGCCGAACTACGGTAGCTCTGATTCCTCAAAAAGGATACGTAGGCATTAGGGTAGGGCCCGAGCGAGTACAACTTTATTTTCCCTACATTCTTTCTTTTTTCGTTGCATGCATTCTCTCTTAGTTTATAACCCTTAAGCATTATATTGAACACACCCTTTGATTAGAATAACGAGAGTGGAACCCGTAGAGTACTATGGACGTGCGGGGTGTTAATACCTTTCCCTCGCGTAATCGACTCCCTTACCCAATCTTTCGATCACAAGACCTTGATTTCCCCTTTAGGTTTTATTCTATGATTTTCCTTTCCCTTTCATATGGGATAAATAAATACTCGATGGCGACTTCATTGATTTTACTGCTACAGAAAAATGGCGACTTCACTGGGGAGTACATGTCGACCTATTGTTGGTCCATCCCATGAGTCACTCCTAGCTCCCGTTTTTCCTTTCTTATGGTGTTTGTCTTTATGCTTTTATGGATTATTACTTTGTATATGTTTGAGCATATGTTTGCATTGCATCTTTATTATTATTTGTTATATTGTTGTTGTGCTGGTTTCTCTGTTTGGTGGGATGTTACTATGAGGTAAAAGGCCCAATACCCAGGCCAAGTGGAAACAATAGGAACACTAGGAATAGAGTGGAACATGAACGGCTAGTTGACTTAGGTTTCACTATGCCGCCATGTCGTCCATGCTCAGATGAGGTACAAATGAGGGGCTATCATTTTCACGTAGGTGATATGGCGATAGTTTTTCAGGAGTACCCTCGATTCTGAGTTACCATTGACCTTACCATGACCTAGTCATTACCCGTGAGTGGTGAGGGAATAATCTATACAGGTACATATGGTGACTATACATGTTCTATTAGTGATTCTGATTATACTAATGATTTTGATCCTTGGTATTCTGATATTGGTCCGGACCTTTGATCTTATTACATATGACAGTGGTTCTATTATCAGTTCAGCAGTTATCCAGTATCGCAGAAGCTTTGATCCCACATGTTTGCATACATAGCATGTTAACATAATTATCAGCATACATGTTTTTTGTTTCCAAACAGTACTTCCTTGATTCCAATTGTTAAGACATTCTGATTATACTAATGACTTTGATCCTTGGTATTCTGATATTGGTCCGGACCTTTGATCTTATTACATATGACAGTGGTTCTATTATCAGTTCAGCAGTTATCCAGTATCGCAGAAGCTTTGATCCCACATGTTTGCATACATAGCATGTTAACATAATTATCAGCATACATGTTTTTTGTTTCCAAACAGTACTTCCTTGATTCCAATTGTTAAGACAAAAAATAAACATAAATATATATATATATATATATATATATATATATATATATATATATATATATATATATATATATATATATATATATATATATATATATATATATATATATATATATATATATATATATATATATATATATATATATATATATATATATATATATATATATATATATATATATATATATATATATATATATATATATATATATATAATAAATACATGAAAAAAGGATATATAATAACATTGTGGCTTAATAACCGAAATCAAAGTGTATGAACTTTTGGAAATAAGAATATGGAATTTGCATTACATATCATGTATCATGTCACATTTTACTATGCATCTCATGAGTTCCACGGAATTCTTACTCAAGGTCCGCTGGTCTCCAGAATCAAGTTGTCTCATCAGTGCAATGCCCGTGCTAAGGGAAGATGGAAAGCATTAAGCAAGAGATCTTTGAACTTCACAAAGAAATAACTACTTTGAAGGCTTATATGGAATATCTAACTGCTTTGGTTAAAACTTTGGTTGCCGCCTAATTCAATCCTTCTAGGGAGGAAGAAGAGATGGAAAAAGTCTTCACAAAAACTCTGAAATCATTCTTTCATGAGAAGGTGATAGTCAACGCATCCGTTGAATTCCCAGAAAAGGCGAATGTGGGAGTGCTTCTGGAAGAGGATGTCTGAAAGGAATGTTTGTCTGAAGACAGTGGCACAACTAGTGGTGTGAAAAAGTTTGATAATAATTTTTCTAAAAAGAGAACCAGAAGAAGAAACAATCAGCATCATAATCAGCATGTTCCTTCAGTCAACCCTGTGTTCAATTTACCTCTTGTCGCTCCAGTTTGGCGACAGAATCAACAAGTTTCTAATCAGAAGAAAGCTCAGTTTGATCCAATTCCAATTCCTTATGCAGATTTATTTCCTATCCTAATGGAGAAGAATTTTGTT